AACTTATTTGCATCGGTACACTAATTGCAAGTATGATTTTTCTGCATTGCTAACAAAATAGCAACTCACCCTTACCTCTACTCTAACCATTACTAGCAAAAGGAGAGTTCAACAAAACGTGCGCATAGTGAAGCTACATTTACGTTCAGAATCAAAACAAGGGGACATCTCAGCATTTGCTCAATGGATCATGGAAACTGGACAAAAACCTGATCGAGATGGGGGTCATTGACCCGGAAACTGAAGTACATTATTTGTTACAAACATATTAAGTCTTGAAAATAAATTATACAATACAAATGTAAACTAATTCAGTATATATCACTGTTTTGTTAAAATAAACATTATTTTTCTTTTTGATCTTCTTTTTGATCTTCTTTTTGATCTTGCATTTTGATCTTTAGTCTCTAATTGTATAGAAACAGTTATGCAGCAGAAAAGATTTTACTTTTAACTTAAATTTGTTGTGTACTTTAATGTCATCTGGCAATGCTTTATAAAGTAACGTACATGTATTGTATGTGGATTTCTGATAGTGAGCTATTGATACTGACACTTGATGAACGTGATTTTTACGACGTGTGTTGTAATTATAAATATCAGTATTGCATGAAAATATATTCCCACCGTTAAGTAAGTCACTTTTGACAATTATAACAGATTCGTAAATATATAGGCAAGGCAGTGGTAAGATTTCAAGCTCAATGAAGAGAGGCTTGCAAGGATAACGCGGATGGCATTTTTTCATTATTCGAATAGTTTTCTTTTGCAATCTAAAGGTCTGAGTACTACATGATGAGTTTCCCCAGAATTTTATACCATGCTTTATAAGTTAGAATCTGTATATTATTTCACATTTCTTTGTTCGTTTCTTATATTGGATCTTTTTTATACGTTTACAAATTAATTTTTCGTAAAGTATTTAAAATCTGTTAGAAAAAAAATGAAATCAAAATTACTATCCATCAGTCGCCCGTTCCCAATTTACGCAGTTAGATGCTACGTAAATTAGAATTTGTGTATTATTTCATATTTCTATGTTAATTCATTTTAAATTACGTTCTGCGGTCATTGGTGGTTGTTGTAATGTCGGGTTATGCTTATTATTGTAATGTCGGGCTGATAACAGAAGGTGATAATGACGTGTGTCTTTCGTTCATGGTAATATAAACTAATATTTCTGTATACTTGTAGAATATTACAATGCCATAGCATTTAGCAATTACTATTACATATTTTGTCATCAATTTGCATTTGTTTGCTGAAGCTATCAGTATCGTATTATTTATTTACATTTATTTATTTAATTTAGTTTCTCTCATACTGCTAATTTTTTGTACAAAATTTTCTACAATTTCGAACGTGGTTTACAAAAATGAAGTCTGAGATGTGATAATTCAAAGAGGCATTGGGTAATAAATAGTATTACATTATCATTGCTAATGGTGAAACAGTATTTGCTGTTTTACCACCGCTAGTTTCTAAAAAAAAATTAAGTTCCTTTAGCCCAAAATTGTTCCTGAGAAACAAAGCTATCAAGACTGTCACACGCACAAAAATCTTGGGCCTTATATTTGACCACAGGGTCTAATGTAATATGTAAATCCCAAAATGATACGTTTTGATCATGTCCTGATGATTCTGTACGATGATGTTCTGTAAGATAAATATGTGATGCTGTATTATGTTATGCTCTATGTATTATGATACTTATGTAAATGTAATGACAGATTAAGTCATACTTGCCTGCAAAGACTTACTTTAAAATATTATAGTCGGTAATAACCTTAGTCGTTAATGCGACATCATAACTGTTCAAAATCATCTTTAATTAGGAGTGCGTCATTGGAACTTTCCACAACTCTTTGGAACGTGAATTGACTTTGGGATAGCTGCCCAGCCCATACGCACGTTATTATTCAAATTCTTTCTTCCATCAGCAAAACGTGTCTTTCATTAAGAAGACTGCGACTAATAATTCGTCGGCTTTGTTCGTCTTCGAAGAGATTATTCTAATAACGAACACTTGAGGAATTTTGACATATTTTATATCATACTCCAGACTACCGATAAGAATGCAACGAGATATATAACATTCAAAAAAACAAAAGAAATACTGAATAACATCTTGAAATGATGAAAGAAGGTGACGTTGTTCATTAAGTCAGATAGACTGGGAATGTAGCAATAATTCGTATACTCAAGATCAAATTAAACAATCTGAAATGAGATTATTAGTAATCCCGCAATAGTTCTGTATGTGAGTGACTGGTCAATGTTTTAAAATATCTGGCCACTATTTTAAAATATTGAATTGTAGTCGCGTTATTTAAACTTGTCCTGACTTTAGTTTAAATATGAAAACTTTGAAAAACTGTAAACTTCTTCAATTTATAATCGAATATTTAGTTATTCGTTTGATAATAGTATATATTATGTGAAATATTGAATTGATTCTCTTGTTCGAGACGAGGAAAAAGAAACAAACCAATTTTATTTAATGCAATCTCAGAATCTCAACATTGATTGACGCACTTACTCAAAAAAAATGAACGGGCCGAACAATTTTTGGAGAAGTAAAAGTGCACGACATTCTGAAAGCCTTCATAATTCTCACTGAAACGTCGGAATTTTATTTCACAGAATGGTGAATGATTGAAATCCAGATACGTCAATTCGTGATTTATCAAGGAAGGATATTTAAGAAGGAATTCTTAGTTAACAAATATTGATCCCACTTATTCACTTCAGAGCAAGCTTGATACCTTGCCGATAGGTGATATTATCTCCATGATAGAAAGCCTAGTCACAAGCAATATTTCGAGTGTGTTCGAGGACAAGAATTCTCGAAAGGTAATTAATATTTATAACGGGGCGGTTTTTAATCAACTTGAAATAGATGGGAATAATTTACTTTCAGCCTATCTATATCTGAGTAACCGTCCTCAGGTTATTGAAATTAATGATGTCCCAAAACACTGGTATTACTTAGGAAACAGAAACGAAATATTGATTTTCATAGATTGTTGCTCAATCTACTGCCTCATCAAAGTTTTAAATACCGTCATGGATGCACTAATTATTAAAAAGACAGTAAAGACAGTATTATTTCAAACCGAATTAGATTCCCATCTTTCACCAGATTTGCCCGTCCTGAAAAAAATTTCAACGAATTAAAAAAAAACACAATTTACAAAAAAACTTTTCTGTCGCACATTACTATTTACACATCCAACAAATGAAACAAATTCTCGTGTATTTTGACTCGCAAAATTCGAATTGGCCTCGCGGATAACCCATTCCCATTAAATTAAAAATGTTAAAAAAACGTACATATTTTCTTTATTCCAGTTTCCTGTTATCGTAAAGCCGTCTTTTCTCTTCAAAAGATCTAATCCAAGGTTGACCTGAGCTAATTCAAGGTTTAGGTTTTGTCCATAATTTATATGCTTCGCATTTGCACATCCAATAAGAGCATCCAACAATTAACAGCCATTAATCCATTGTTCCATCCAAAATTTTATTGGAACCGTTCAGCTTATTCTTACAGATAATCTCCAAGATTTTCCAACGACAAATACAAATGTTAATTAAAGAAATGTAATTTTCATTTCAGTAAACACACCATATTTTGCCATTTTTTCATTTAGCTACCACAACTTTGTAGTCGGAACCCTTATTCTGTCAAATAAATTTGTCGCTACTGCTTTGAAATGTTTTAAAGCAAATAAAAATAATAGGAAGAAATGGGTAAAAAAAATGGGCGTAATTTTGCAAATGAAAGGTGGCGCACAAAGAATCTAAAGACATATCATAAGACATTTCCAAGGAATGTTACATTTATATGAATGATATGATGGAATGTAATTCCGAAATAGTAATAATGTATTCCGAATTTGTATATTGCATAATATGTTAATTACCATCAATGTTCATTCTTGAAATTGAATAAATTCGATAACACTTAGGAACAATTATAGTAATAATGAATTAGTGCTTAAAACGCGAAAGGACTATGTATGGCATGGAATCTGCTTTTCCGTAAGCATTTAAGACTTGCGGTGAAAAGAGGTACCATTCGAAAATATACATAGGTTGATACGTTCCTTATACGCGTTTGTAAAATCTGCCTCTTAATAACCTCAGAATCACAATTATAATATTTCTAAAAACTCTAAAATAACTCAGAATAATATTTCAATATAGTGCAGTATCACATATTTTGAAATATCTTTAAAGAGTATTAGTTTGAAAAGAATTAATAATATTTTCAAAAATTAAATTTGTTTAAAGAATTTAATTATTAAAATGCATTTTTACTCACTAATGTGGTCACAATTTGTATTGCTTTAAGACCGGAATATATTCTCCGTGCGTATTTGCGCCCAACAAGGTGGGACGGTGACAATTATATATATAATATTTTTAAAGTGTCAAAGTCGCAATGCGCACGTATTACTGTCTACTAAAATATGTATTTGGTTTTACCCTTAAGTTTTCAAAATGTCACTATGTTCACTATTTACTCCTTATTATGTGTATAGGAATTTTTACATTTTAACTCTATACAATTATTTTCGAGGAAGGATTACGAGAGAGGGACACAACAATCTCCACGATTATAAAGTGCACTATACTCACGGGACTAAATTAACAAGTTGACGCTCCCGGAATCAATCTCAGTCACTATTAGAATTAGAGCTTTTGAAATTTAATTTAACACATTGCATTCCAACGAACCAATGACCGACTCCCGGTAACTCGCTCTTTCCTTCCTCACTCATTTCCTCTGGCATTGAGGCCTTGGTTGGCCTCAAACACTCTTGATATTTTCAACAAAATCTTCAAGAAAATGAAAATGAAGTTCTTCATCGGGCAGAAGTTTGTAAGTTAGGCATGATTCGGTAGTTGAGGGTCGCCGAAACTTTCTCAGGCCGCACCGTCCATATTGCACGTGTGTCACCCTTTATCACTGCCGCCTCGCCCCCAACCTCGACTTCAACCTCAAGACGGGGTAAAGACGGAGATGGAGGCGAGGACGGGGGCGGGGGCGCAGGCGGAGGCGTTGGGAGAAGTGGGAGCGTTAGCCGAAGCGGGGGCGCAGTGGGAATGGAGGGGATGGCGGAGACGGCAAGGCGTTGCGGACGGGATGGCGGGGACGGAGGCTGGTGGCGGAGCGGAAGGCGGGGGTTGCATGCGGAGGCGTTGGGGCAGGCGGGAGCGGTAGCCGAACGGGGCGCAGGCGGGGGCAGGAGGCGATGTGAGGGTGGTGGCGGAAGCGGGCGACAGAGGCGGGTGGGCGGGGGCGTTGACGGATGGCGTTAAGCTGGAGGTGAAAGCGAAGGACATAAGGCGGTTGGTGGAGGCGGGGGCGCAGCGAGGCGTTGGGGGAGGCGGAGAGGCGGGGGGGAGGTGGCTGGCGGCCAGAGGCAGGGCGGAGGAAAGGGCGGTGGCAGGTGCGAAGAAGTGGGCGAAGCGGTGGGCGATAGCGGGGCGGAGGCAGAGGTGGTTGGCGGAGGCGGGGCCGGAGCAGGGGCGGAGGTGGAAGTGGAAACAAAGAGGAGGGGAGGGCTTTTGGCGAAGGCGGTGGGCGGAGGCCAAGGCATGGCAGAGGGCGGATGTGGAGGTGGTGGCGGAAGCGGGGACAGAGGCGGGGCGGGGCGGGGTGGTGGGGGGGGCGCAGGCGGAGGTGAAACGGAAGGCGGAGGTCTAGGCCGTAGCGAATGGCTCAGGCGGAGGCTGAGGCGTTGGGGGAGGCGTTAGCGGATTGGAAGGCAAGGGACAGAGGCGGAGGCGGGGGACGCAGGCGGGAGGCGTTGGGGGACGGGGTCGCGGCGGGGGCGGAGCTGAAGCCGGAGCAGGGGCGGAGGTGATAGTGGGAAAGCAAAAGCCGGAGGCGGAGCTTTGGCGAAAGGCGGTAAGCCAGAGGCCGAGGCGTTGCGGAGGGCGGAGGGGGCGTCGCGCCAGCTGTCCACAGGTGCACTTCCGACTCCGCAGGAAGCTGCCGCCATTAAAGAAGCGAAGTACGCAAGAGAAACTTCCTCATTTATTTGACTTGTTTGTGAGTGGAAGTTCTAGCCTCACCGAAGCAAATCAGATGAGACGGCGGCGCCGGCGGCGCGGGTGCGAAGTGCGGCGCAAGCCGAGCGCATGCGCAGATGCGCTGCAGTCGAGATTGCGCTCGCGCTCGCCTATCCAGCGCGTAGCTAACACTTCAACGCCGCTGCCCGTCGGGCGAATTGATGGCGCGGGAAAACCCGTTATAACCAACCGGGTCATATTGCCACTCGTTGTCGCCCTTTATCACCGGCGCCGCCCCCCAAACCTCGACTTCAACCTCAGACGTGGTAAAAGACGGAGACGGAGCGCGGGGCGGGGGCGGAGGTGGGAAACGGTAGGCGGTGGCTGGAGACGGAGGCGTTGGCGGACTGGATGGCGGGGGCGGAGTCGTTGACGGAGGCGTTGACCGGAGCCGTTTGACGGAGGCGTCGTGACGAGCGTTTGACGGAGCGTTGACGAGGCGTTGACGGAGGCGTTGATCGGAGGCGGGGCGTCAGGCAGAGGTCGTTGGGGAGGTCCTGCCACCTCCCGTTCAATCGGGAGAGGTGGCTCAGGGCATCACACTGATGACGCTGTAGGTGGCCTTGCGGGAGTGGTCCTAGCTTTCGACCGGTGGCAGGCATTTTCGACACTAGCTAGGTCCAGTTTCCTGTCGCTGGTCTGGAGGAGAAGTCTAGGCGGGGTCGGGCTGCTTTGACGATAGTTTTCCGGGTGGTTTTTCTTCTTCGATCGACACCAAGGCGAATGCCGGAGAGTCAATTAATGGACCATAGACCGTGCCGATCTTTCGTTCCTCTTGTCCCTAGTCTCTCTCCTTATTTACACAACACTTACACTTACACGGAACGCGATACTACCCAATACAAGAGAAACAGTCGGAGCGATGCCCCGCTGGTGGGAGATACCTGGCTTGATGGAAACTCGTTAGGCTGACGGTAGGTGACGGTCTCATCACTCAGTGGGAGGAAATTAAGCGCAATGCGCGTTTTTTGATAGTTCTTAAGCAATAAACGACGTTTGGGTGATTTTACGGTAATTTAAAGGTGATTAATATCTCATTCGATTTCTTTCGACAATCGCTTTTGTCCTACCGATTAAAATTTACCATTTGACTCGGCCCTTCCTGTCACCCACGTACCCTTCTAGGATATTCCTGAAGAGATAATATTCTAGGGAAAATCAGAATGATCTTGCCTTGGTTTCAAGGCTAAAAATACATTTGTGAGACATTTGTGGATTAATTTTGCTAATCTTATCCGGCATTTATATGAATTGTAAGAACTGATCAGTAAGATCATCAATATCTTAAACGTAATTTTGTAAGAAATAAATAAGTAAACAATATTTTTACTTATACATTTGCACGTAACATTTTGTGCCCGAAATAAATGAGTTTGGAAGGGGTAAGAAGCCTGATTTTTTATTATGAATTCTGCACAATTCGAATGCAAAGCACAGTAAATAAAAGTTTTTAACGCCGAAAGTACCACTTGATGCGCCAAACAAGCAGACAGTTCTCATTAACGTCCTAGGCTTGCCACGCCGGAGTCATGTGAATGATATTGGCTGTTCGCGTGCTTTGCCAAATTACTGGTCTGGCAGACGAGCCCCTGAGGAAAGCACGAGAAGATGGTCGAAACGTCAGCAACACAGTCCCTTCGACGCATGCGTCACCCTGGACGCCAAATATCCCATTCAGAAAGACAGTTGTCAGTGTGTGGTTAAAACTTAAGGTAATATATCACTTTGCCGGAATAAGACCACTAAAATGGAAAAAAATAAGGCAGAAAAACTTGTTTCAACCCGTTTAACTCCTAATTACAAACAGGGCAAACTGCTCCAAGAGCGGGCAACCGCCAATCGCCACCACGCTGTACTCCTAAAAATACAAAGATAGCTGTATATATTTACTTGGCTGTCCGGGTGACGCCGCGTCATGGCGAACCGAGACGTTTGGCACGTTCGGCGGCGTCTTCCGGGCAGCCAGTAAATACTGCGGCCGCGGAAGCCCTACGCTGCTCAAGATAGTTGTAGTGTACTGGCATCCACATCACTAGTCCGCACAATCTATTAATGTTATTTTTTTAAACCTC